AGATGGGTGTAGTGCTGTTAGTCACTGGTAAACTGCAGAAGACTTTCTAAACCTCGGGTAATAAATTAAACAGTTTGTTGGCTCAAAACAAGTGAGACGTTTCAACGGCTGAGTAACAGGCTGAAAAGTGGCATTAGATGACAAACTGCATTAGAAAATAAGGAGACACTGCACTTCTTATAATGAAGATACTGGATTGAATCTCAGGCTTCCACATAGACTGTTTCTACGCTGCAACCTGGCAGAGCTGTTTGCTGCAACTAACCTTGTAGCAAGCTCATTCAATTTTTTTTTTAAGGGAACCTGTTCTGATATGCACCAAGTTGAACAATGCTGTGCCTTTGTTCACTGCTTGAAATATAAGCATTACAGAAATCATGCTGTATCTGACTTCTTCCCTGGTGAAGTAGAAATCAGACAGCTCACTGAAGGTCTTGTTCAACCAAGGGAAAGGGGCCTCTTTTCTAGGCAGATTCCTTTCCTGCCCAGTGGGAAGAGTTTTTTTCTAATGCTCCACGTTGTTTCTGTTGGCAGGGACATTCTATGCCCGGGAGCAGGTCTCTACCCTCTACAAGTTTGTGAGAGAGGCCCTGCAGGATGACTGGCTGCCTTTTGAGCTGCTTGCTCCTGGAGGTCTCAGACTGACTGATGAAAACATGGCTTTCAATGAGTGTGGGCTGGTAAGTACAGTGTTATCTGATCATGGCTCCAGCCAGGTCAGTTCCATTGAGGCTCTGTAACAATTTTGTTCATACATGTAACAAGGAGAACTATTACAGCAAAAACGGAACGCAAAACAGCCAAGCTGTATCTTTACTGTCCCATGCCTAGGGAAGGGGTGGGGGTGTTAGGGAAACCTGATGGTGCTGGTCATTTAGCATTCTTATACAGACACATCCCCTTCTTCTTAGCCACTGACTGTCTTCTAAAGAGTACGGAAGCCTTTGGTAACCAGCTTTACACAGGATATTAATAAAGCACTCCCTTTGTTCTTGTTTTAGGTTCCCTCTGCCCTCCTGACACTTTCATGGGATGCAGCTGTCATGGCAGACATAAAAGCTGCAGAGAAAGAAGAGGAAGCAAAAAGCCCCTTGAAACCAGAACTCCTTTCTGCTGTCCAAACCCTATCATGAAATAAATGGGAGCGGATTCAGTGCTGTTGGGTCTGTTTGTGCTGTTCCCTCCTTCCCTGCATTCCTCAGACATCAGAACAGAAGCTGCTTCAACTCCTGTTCCTGCCACAAACTCACTAGCTGAGGTCTGGGACATCCAGGCATCAGTCTGTCACTGCACTTGTCAGCTTCTGTCCACGCTAAGAGCAGCTATAGAATACACAAGAACTTGACCCATTTTAAGGAGACTTACTACACTGAAGACAGTCCTGCCTTGGAGATTTGTTCTGTTGCTCTTGTACTTTTTTTTTTTTGCAGTTACTCTGTGGTTTTCTCCCTGTTGTGAACAAAAAGTACCTCTCTGTCCTTTACAGCAACAGAAAAAAAAATCTACCCTGTTAAAGTCTAGCAGGTCAAAGATGATTGTAAGACTAGTACACTACACAACAGTGGGCAGGACTAGTGTTCAGCTCTCTGTTATGCTCCTACTGTATAAATTAAATCCCTCTTAGGGGAAAGATTTTTGTGTAAAATACTTATGTCACTTGTAACAAGATCAGCTGTTGTTATTCTGATTAAAGGAAGTCTTTAGAAATGCAGCCTCGATTCAAATTATTGAGCTATCAAACTACACTTACCTGTAAGATCTGAAAGGAGCACTCCCTCATACTCCTTGCACTACTGCATCTCTTTGTAAAAGGTGAAGTCTTCCTCAGCACTCAATTTTACAGTGTAGTTTGTAGCAGTGTTGGTCTAAGGACATACCCAGACAAAGTTCTCTGGGTAAATCCAATATCTTTAATTAGACCAACTCAAATTTGGGTTGGTCTAATAAGAGATATTAGATTTACCCAGAGAACCTTGTCTGCCTGGGGAAGTTCATCTAGCCTATTTTTATTTCACAAGTTGCCACAATGTGAAAGTATATCCCTTAACTGTCACCCTCCCCAGTGACAGAAGTGTCTGTGTGAAGTATGATTTCATCATTGGTAGGGTTGGAATGGACCTGAGCAGATCATCAAGTCTGACCCCCTGCCATGGCAGGAAAGAGTGCTGGGGTCAGACAACCAGGGTAGGAGCAAGGACCACTTCCCTTGGAAGTTGGTTCCAGATCCTAGCTGCCCTGACTGTGAAGTAGTGCCTCCTGGTATCCAGCCTGAATCTGCTTTCTGTCAGCTTGTGACTGTTGTTCCTTGCTACTCCCGGTAGTGCTTGGGGGAACAGGGACTCTCCCCTTGCCTGCTGGTCTCCCTTGGCCAGTTTATAGACTGCCACCAGATCCCCTCTCAGCCTCCTCTTGTGGAGGCTGAACAGGTTCAGATCCTGTAGCTTATCCTTGTAGGACCTACCCTGCTGACCCCTGACCATGTGAGTGGCCTCCTCTGGACCTCTCCATGTTATCCACATCCCTCCTGAAGTGCAGTGCCCAGAACTGGACACAGTACTCCAGCTGTGGCCTGACCAATGTTGCATAGAGGGGGAGGATCACCTCCTTGGACCTGCTCGTGATGCATCTGTGGTTGCATGACAAGGTGGTTAGCCTTTCTGACTGCATCCCCACATTGGCAGCCCATGTTCATCTTTGAGTCAATAATGATTCCAAGATCCTTTTCTGCCTCTGTGCTGGTGAGAGGGGAGTTCCCCAGCCTGTAGGTGTGCTGCTGGTTCTTCCTTCCCAGGTGAAGTACCTTGCACTTGTCAGTGTTGATACCCATCCTATTCTCAACTGCCCACCTCCGTAACCTGTCCAGATCTGATTGCAGCTCATCCCTCCTCTCTAGCGTGCCCACCTCTCCCCACATCTTAGTATCATCTGCAAGTTTGAACAAGGTGCTTTTCACCCCCTTGTCCAAGTCGCTGATGAAGATGTTGAACAGTACAGGCCCAAGGACCGAGCCCTGGGGGACCCTACTGCTCACAGCCCTCCAGGTCAAAAATGACCCGTTCACCACCACTCTGGGTACAGCCCTCCAGCCAACTGGCAACCTACCTAACTGGGTAGGGATTGACACAACAGTTGCCTAATTTTTTTAATGAGAATAGAGTGAGAGACAGTGTCAAAGGCTTTTCTAAAGTCCAGAAAGACTGTGCCCAAGGATTTAGTGACCTGATCATAGAAGGCCACCAGGTTGGTCTGACAGGACCTGCCTCTGATGAGCCCATGTTGGTTGCCCCTAAGCATATACTCCCCTGCTGGTCCCTCACAGATGTGGTCCTGGATAATTTTCTCAAAGAGGTTCCCCAGGACTGAGATAAAACTAACTGGCCTATAGTTTCCTGGATCCTCTCTCCCTTTTTTGAAAACGGGGACCACATTGGCCCTCTTCCAGTCCTCTGGCACCTCACCAGAGCACCACGCACGCTCGTAAAGCTGTGCCAGGGGACCCGTAATAACCTCTGCTAATTCTCTCAGCACTGGGGTGGAGATTGTCAGGACCTGCTGATTTGGACACGTCCAGTCCCACCAGGAGGTCCCTGACTAGGTCCACTCCGACCCTGGGCCTGTCTGCACCTCCCCTGAGACCATCAGGGATCACGATGGGAGGGATGACCTGGTCTCTGCTCAGAAAAACGGAGGCAAAGAAGTTGTTAAATAAGTTAGCTTTGACATCTGGTGCAATCACCAGACTTCCTAGTGAGTCCTGTAGAGGCCCTACGTTACCCAGAACCTTCTTTTTATGCCCTATGTATTAAAAAAAATTCTTATTGTCCTATTGTCTCCATAATTAGAAAGGGGAATTATGTATGAGATTTAAACAACAGGTCAGTGACTGCATCATGTTTGATCACCACAGTAAAATGTTACATGCATTATGAAAGAGGTCACCTGAGGTTAAAGCCTTACTTGTGAGAGACCTCTGCTACATAAGATGATGTTTGGTACACAACTTAAACCAGGGATGTTGAATACACTCTGGACCACAGGCTGGATCAAGCTGAGGGTTTGGAGAGCAGCTGCACCCCTAAACTTCCAGCGACTAACACAGCAGGCCACATTTTTGACAATCCTGAACAAAGAGAGTTGTACAGGCAATATGGGAGGTGGCAAAGGCTCCCCATGCTTCCTGCCTGACCCAAGTCAGCATGATAAGGAGGCAAGATATAAACCTGCAAGCAGAAAAGTCAACCAGATCCACCTCCAGAAAACCAAATACTTCAAGTGTAACAAGCCAACATGCAGTAGAGCAAGTGGCAATAGAATTATTGTACACACAC